TTTATAGACTTATTGTGCACACACTTGAACTTCCGTTGCGCAGACCTCTTGGTCTTACCCCTATCCTGTACTACTGTACTACTTAACTGCAATTGTCATATGATGTAACTGCGTTTCACCACTACTGCCTTCGCACAACCGACTAGCAGTAATTCTCATCGTTTTTCCGCTTAGTAGCGTATCATTCACCTACACGCATAAGCATATATTCGGGGAATAATTTTAAGGATTAGAGGCATCTAATAATGTACTTTCTCTCTTTTTGATTTTTACATAGATTGTTAGAGAAAAAACTCCTGGAGGCGTGGCTTACATATAAGGATGAATGAACTAAATCTTTATTGATGATTTTCACCACGCTACGGTCTAGCGAAAATCATTTATTTTTCAGAATTTTGCGCACAATGTTTTACTTCAAAGTGCTGAATAGTTATCCTCAATTTTTATCTTGGTGTGCTCATTCAAATACCCTCTCTGTATAGTAAATCACGCGATCGGAAATTTAAGTTTTATAGAGCATACTGGTCTTAATTCGACTGTTCAGACAGACCCATGGTGACTTAGTAGGTGCCGACATTGACTGACTGACACTAACTGGCTGTTGATATAGTGACTGATCGACTGACGCTAGACTGACTGACCGACTGACTCACTCACTCACTAGACTGACTACAGATTGACTAGACTGGCTGGCTGACTTACTGACTGAATAACTGAGCGACAGACTGTGACTGAATGACTGACTAGGTGACTGAATGACTGAGTGACTGACTAGGTGACTGAATGACAAACAGATTTAACCGATTTACTGACTGATTACTGACATTTTGACTGATTGAACAGAATGGATAACTGACTGGCTATCTTGTTTTAGACATATGACTGTCCAACAGACTGATCGTCTCGATGTGTGGCTAATTTTTTTTATCGATTCAATGTATCTCTAACTCACTCATTATAGGCTCATTGAGTGAGTGTTGTCGGATTGTCGATAAAATACTCGTTTTTCCAAAATCAAAATTGTAGTTCGTACTGAAAATACGCATGCAAAGGTGGTGTCACTTCAAATTCATAAAAGGGCAACCTTTGAAGGCCATCTAATTTCTAATTAGTTTTTTGTCAACGAATACACACACACATATATATAAGCAGACACACAGACATAAACACATACATGTAATGCTTCCACACACAGAATTTAAGATTCCTTAGCCTAGCTTCTAAAATTTCACAAAAAATCCTAGGATTTTTTCAAGTTATGTTAAATTTGTATATATCTTATTATTCTTGGATTGAGGGGAGTGAGGGAATGCCGAGATAATAGATTCTTGGCAGCAAAACAAACCAGGAAAAATATGCCAACCACACAACACACTTTAATTTATTTTTATCACATTTAACCATGTAATAATAGAAAGTTACTGCCATGCCTCACCATACATCGGAGTAATAAATTGTCTACAGTAGATTGTTACTGTCATTTATCATCGCACTTTTGTCATATTTACGACACCGTCATATATACATATCTGAAAAATTGGCATGATGAAAAAAGAGACATGAAAGGTTAAAAAAAAACCCGAAGGCATGCAGAAAATAAGCTTTGCATAAACGTAATATAGCGCAGGTAATGTGAGGAAAACAAACAACCGGTATTGCCACAATGCCATTGTCATTTCAGTTCAGTCGCAATTTGACCTCCGTACTTACGATTTTATTTTTAATTGGCCTGCATGAAAATTCCTGGTTGCGCTCTACAAAGGAAGAAATTAATTCAAATCAGTAAAACTCCTTAAAAATGGAAATACTATATGTTACAGTGTTTATGTGTGCGTTACAGACACACATGCACACATAAATGTAGCCGCAAAACCTGCGGTCTATACTGTCATATACTGCAGTGATGATCCAGAGTCCTTCTGAAAGTTTCTTTTTGGGTGGGCTTAATACTTAAAACTAAGTGTTGGTCAGTTAAGGGGTTAGTCCTAATATATTATACTGTACACTACACAAGGCACCATTAGGTCTCTTAGATGCATGGCCAAATGACCGTCAACTGATTGTTCCATATTTCGGGAAATATCCGGACTCTAGATAATTATCTGATGCCATGGTGCTGAGGAGTTTTTAAGCAAAATGTTAGACTCTTGTCAGAGCATTGATACACACACACACACACACACACACACACACACACACACACACACACACACACACACACACACACACGCACGCACACACACACACGCACACACACGCACACGCATATATATATATATATATATATATATATTATATATATATATATACACACACACACACACACACACACACACACACACACACGCACTCACACACACACACACACACACACACACACAAATATATATATATATATATATATATATATATATAAATATACATAATGTGTGTATGTTTGCCATACACATATTTACATATATAATACACAGTCTCTTTATATACGAAAAGTTTAACAATAATCCGTATGTCAGTCGATGATTCAATAGGCTACCGTCGACATGGGCACGTAGCCGCATCCACTCTTCGTTTCCAACCTCAAAGCGAGCCTCCAGGTGGGTCCTCGGCCCATTACTAACTCCCAACGACAGATCTGATCAATCTGCCTGGGCCACGATTTCTTAGGTCGTCTCACGGGGCTTCTCTACCCAGGTTTATCTCCTGAGAAGACAACCTGGTGGACAAGGTCATTCTCGTGCAAGAGAGCAAGGTGCCCGTAAAACCTGTGTTGGCGGTTCCAGATTGTGCAACAGGTCCTATCCTGGTTTCAAGGTGTAACTGTTGGTTGGACATATACCCTTGCTAACTGTACCCTATGATCCGACGTAAGGACCAGTTGCAAAAGGCATCACGACAGGACTGCAAGGCACGGGGTAGAGTCCTGGATTCACCTCCGTATAGAACTGGCAGTATCAGGGCCTTGAAGACGCGTAGCTTGGTCCTTCTGCACAGGTACTAGCATCCCCAAGAATTCTTGGCGAGTGAGTTCATGGCACCTACTGCCAGGCCAATCTGTCCACCAACTTCCTGGCATGACAGCCCAGACTCATGGGGCTACACACCAAGTTACGTAAAGCTCTGGGACTTCAATATCCTTGTCTCAAGCGTGTACCGACTGAACAGATTTTCTTTAGCAAGCCTCCGAAATCCTGGATCTGGGTCTTAGTCAGAGACCTTGACTCAAGAACCTCATCTTGTTGCTAAATGCATTAACAACCACTACTAAGGTTCCCCGTGAAAGGTAACATCACCAGCTAAGCCAAGGTCAGTGTTCCTCCATAATGCCTTAACTGTACCCATTCACCAGTCTATGCAAGTATTAAAAAGTGTTGATGCAAAAGCACAGTCCTACTCGCTCCTGCATTCAAAGGGAAGAAGCTAGAAAGACCCTTGCCATACATTTCAGCACTCTCAGTACCGTTATACAGACTGGCCATTAACAAAATACCCAGTGCGATCTAAGGCTTGGTAGGAAGGGCAATGAGTATTTACTAAGGGCCTTGGACCGCTTCAACAAGTTCCCTTGTCCCTTGTCGTGTCCAAGTAATGCTCTGACCAGATGATACCACACGATATTTATTTTGGCTCTACAAATGTTTCCCATAATAAATCAACTTCTTGTTAAGATGAAATTATCTGTCGTTCGTTATCGGATTTGTCCAGCAAGAGTCTGCTTGAAATGTTTTATGTTTTATAACAGATTAACTACTTGTGTTACTTGATTGTAACAAATATTTTGTTGTCATTGTAATATCTATATTCTATAAACTTTTAATGACTCCTCCTTCAATTGTTCTTTAAATATGGTTCAGTGGTGTTTGATGTCCCAACTCACACAAGCCTGATATGAAGGCTTTGGTAAATATGTTTAAATATAAACTGCAAAGTAATGCTTAACCTATTGTTTGTGCCCATAAATAGAACTGAAGTATTAAAACTTCTCACTGTGATTGTCACTATCTATGCCCAGTAATTGTAAATTGCCGACTGGTTCTTTTTGCTACCGGCGTCTTGCAAGAAAACAGTAGTGTGTGAGATGTAACCAAGCAATATTGTGCAACAGCCAGTTAGCATCTTCCAGAACATACAAACATTCCAAAGCTACATCTACAGATTCCCAAGTCTGTATACCCTCCTTTTTTTATTAATCGGCTGATTGCACATCCAACGATAATTGGTCGAGACATGAGAAATACGAAAGGGAAGTGTATCGTATTTAACATTAAATTATAAGAAACGACATTAGGAATTCATTGTATAGATAAAGGAAAACCTCGTAAATGATTTTCATGAATAGTGATAATGTAAGTAAAATATAAAAATCGCAATTAATAAACATGTGTCACGGTATAAACGTCTCAGATTAATAAACGTGTTATGGAGGAATAACTGATTGTGTAGTACACTAACACTAAATTTTGTAAGTGTGTAACCACTTCGTCTGTAACCATACAAAATGGTATATTTTTTTCTTGATCCAAATAATTGATGTAATTGAAGGCGACGCGTTGTCACGCGTCAAAGCAAGTCACCGACGAACATTTTTTATCCAAATTAAAGTTAAAGATAATCTTTTTTTCCTTGCGAATGAAAAATATTATATGGGGCGCGTCGATAAAAATGCTTACAATTAATTAAATACAGAACTCTTTTCATTCACATATCATCATATATTACATTTCGCTTTGGCAAAGAACATACGACAAAAGTCTTGAGTTGTTTATAGAATAAGGAAATATGTAACATGACGTGGTTTACATCGCATTTTCATCATATTTTTTCTGCAACGTGATGTAACATTCGTTTAAATCAGTAGCATAGGAACACTCGTCTTATAGTAATGCTGAAACCCACATACCCATAAAAGGACGAAAATACCGTACGTAGGAAACCCAAGCTATTAATTAAAAACACGTATTGTTTGCTTTCATCCCTCGGCGGCTGCGGTGACGGTGTGTTGCTTATGTCGGCCGCAAATACACAACATTGGGCTGAGGAGGCGATTCAGGCGAAGACCCCCACGGGCTGAATGTCACATATGTGTCACGGATAGCGGCGGTGTTTTCTCTCTGTCAAATTTGGGATTTACGCCACAGTGAAGCAATCCCCGAGAGGAATTCGTCTGCTGTAAAGATAGATCGACATTGGAGAAGGTCAAGGCGAGAGAGCCGAGATAAGTGCTTGTGAAAGAGGAGGAGCTGGAATAGCGAAGGAAAGGGGGAGATTTAACAGAAAATAAAGGAAGGGAAAGAAGAAGATAAGATAGGAAAATAAGAGAAAGAGCGTCAGACAAAATAAACATCGTGATTAAAGACCCGAGTTTCTTACGCCACTGCCCGCAATCTGAGTTTTCTTCACTGGTTGGACTTGAAGAGAGTGTAATGCCTATCTTGGTTCTGGCTACAAGGTAAGGGTTTCTCGGATTATTCCATGTCTCTTTGTGATTGTGACTAATATTGTTTTCTCTATTTGATATTGATTCAAGGGGATCTTTTATTTTAGATGGGTAGAATGCCAGTTGGTTTTTACTTTGTAATAATAGTTTGGCATGTTTTCATAACAGATGTTTTAGATTGTGGCTCCAAATTATTCAATTTACCCTTTGAACCTTTGATAATCTCAAAGCAAGTATTCTGAAGCTTTCATACCAAACTTGTGAAGAGGGAGATTGAATCCATTTTGGTATCTGTAGTGTGAAAGGAGTTACTTTTATTTGTTAGCAAAGAAAAGTAGCAGTTGGGCTTGAGGTGTTGTTTCTCATTAGATATTCATAAATTATTCAGGTGTATTCTCTTTTTCATCATTTTACTGATCTGTCTCTAAAGTCCCAATAAATATCCTGTAATGTATTATAGAATGTTCAACTTGTTATATATGTGTGTTTGGTGCTTTATAATGTCCAAAAGGATTTTAGATTGAATTTAGTGTATTAACAATACACATTGATATTTACTAACTCATCCTCAGGTACTTGTAATCACTTGCTCATATACTTTCTTCCTTAATTTTCTCTCTGGTCTTTTGATGCACATTCACAGATTTTCTCATGCATCAGATTTAGGCCTAATCTGCATAGTGTATGATTATAAGTAGTCTATTTTGTGTCGACCCATATGTATTCAGGATAGTTACTATCCCATTGTTAAACCACAAAACCTCAAAAAGGTGAATAAGAATTACTATGCTTAGATAATGCTATAAAGAGTGTTAATCATGTTATTTTAACCCAAGGCCGCTGGGAAAATGTTGCGTTCACTTTAGTAATATTTTGAAAATGTCTGCATAGATGCCTCTGCTAGTGGTTACCCACAGAGTCAATTAGTACACCATGTGACCCCACCTGATTTCATCTTTCCTTTAATTTTTGGGAAAAGTGTTTTTGTTACTAATGCTATCAATATTTATGCTGTTATTTTCAATATAAGCATCATCAGTACTATAGTGTTATTGACAGTACTATCAGCAATATCAAATACCAGAATATATTATCGAAAAGCAAGGAAAAGGGTAAACAGGTGAGATAGGTAGTTCTCGTAATTGGCTCATTGGTTACTTAGTACTTATGCAGCCATCTATATGTAAAAACAATTACTAATTTAAACACAGTGGGCATGGTACTTATGCACATGACATCCCCGATGGCATATGTTTAATAGTATATTGAAATGATGTTTTTTATAATACACTTGCTATGGTATTAGTTGTTATTATTTAGTTATTTGTTTGTTTATTTATTTATTTATTTATTTATTTATTTGTTTGTTTTATTTATTTATTTGTTATTTATTTATTTATTATTTTATTTTATTATTTATTATTATTTTTTTTTTTTTTTTTTTTTTTTTTTTTTTTTTTTGTCATAGTTACTTAGTAACCAGGAACAGGTTTTTGAACCTCTAATGGATGCAGAACAAACTGGGACAACTTAAGAAGTAAATAGTAGGAAATCTGCCCATTACTTTTTAGATATTCACTCTGTTTTTATTATAAATGCCCCAAATGCATTATGGAGATCACTGCTGTTTATGATTTTAGTGTACATCCTATCTCCAATTTAAAAAAAATTCTTGATTTATTTATTTTTGCTAATAGGAATAATCTAATGATGAAGGTGATATTGCCAAAGATAATCATTTTAACTGTTTTTGTCATAGTTCATTATGATATTTATTGTTATTATGTCATTGTTATTATTTGTTTGCATTGTATTGTAATGATTTTAACTATTATTAATGTTGTTATAATGATAATATTATTATTATTATTGTTATTTTTATTATATTTATAATTATCATTATTATTATTATTATTATTATTATTATTATTATTATTATTATTATTATTGTTATAGATTTTTTATTACTGCTAATATTGTGAATAGTACTGCTTTTATTATTATTATTGTTATTGTTGTAATTATGAATAATATTGGTATTATTATTATTATTATTATTGTTTTTATTTCGTTTGTTTCTATTATCATCATTTTCATTATCTTACTATTGTTAATGTTTCTGTTGTTAATTTTCCTATTGCTATTAGTTTATTAGGTTAATTTGTACTGTATGGATGCATTAAGTTATGGCAAATTGAATATGATATTCTTGCTGAGTACTATACAAGAAGTAATTTGCTGGCATCAACGGAAGCGCCACAAATAAAAGAAAAAGTTCGCAGAAAGCCCCACACTCAGTGCTCCCGAGCTTCTGCTTTATATTGCCGTGCATACCAAGGTGAAGACAATATTTCCCAGAGGGTGTTGGGGGGTAGAGCCCACCATCAACGCTTCCCTTGGGCAGTCACCCAGTCATGGTAACTTAGATTGATGAATAAATTTAGTGACGTGTGGAGTTTGGGAATTGCTGTTTTGAACATATGGATTATTATTATTAATATTATTATTATTTATTTATTTATTTTTCATAAATTATTGTTATGAATAATAGGTTTTTCCTTACGGTGTGGAAGCACTAAGTTAGGACAAATTGAATATGATATTCTTATAGATTACAAAAAGTCCTTAGTACAAGAAATAATTTGCAGACATGAATGGTAACTCTGCAGATAAAGGAAAAGTGCTGCTCTCAACCTAAGTCCACACGTAGCTCTATCAGCTCTATCTTGCTGTGCATACTGAGGTGAAGACAATGTTTCCCGGTGGGTGAGCCCCCAATCAACCCTCCCCTCGGGTAGTGCCTGAAGGTTACTGCCAGTCATAGCAACTTAAATTGATGAATAAATATTTTGATGTGGAGTTGGGGACTTAGTCACTGGCATGTGTGCCCATACTGTAAAGAATTACCTATTATTATTATTGTTATTATTATTATTATTATTATTGTATTACTATTACTATTGTTATCATTATCGTCATTATTATTATTAGCAATGTCATTTTTATTATAGCTGTTTGATTATTATAGTTATTGTTATTATTATTGTTATTATTATTATTATTATTGTAGTCATTGTTGTTGTTAATATAATTGTTAATGTTATTGTTGTTATTATTATTGTTGTTGTTGTCATTATTATTATTAATATTGTTCTTGTGATGATGATTGTTATTGTTATTATTATCGATATTATTATTATTATTATTGTTATTACTATTATTGTTGTTATTATTATCACATCATCATCATCATCATCATCATCATCATCATTCATCATCATCATCATCATCATCATTATTATATTATTATTAGTATTATTATCATCATTATTATGATCATTATTATTATTATCATTGTCATTATTGTTATTGTTATTGATATTGTCATCATTGTTGTTATTATTATTATCATTATTATCATTGATATTATTAATACTGTTGTTATTATTTTTCATATTGTTGTTAATACTATTAATGTAATTATTATTATGTTTTTTGTTATTATTATTATGATGAGGATAATTATTATTATGATGATGATGATGATGATGATGATGATGATCATCATCATCATCATCATCATCACCATCATCATCATCATCATCATCATCAATCATCAGCATCATTATCAATATTATTATTATTATTGTTATTATTGTTGTTATTATTATCATTATTATTATGATCATTATCATTATTATCATTGTCATTATTGTTATTGTTATTGATATTGTCATCATTATTGTTGTTATTATTATTATTATTATTGTTATTATTGTTATTGTTATTATTATTCATTATTATCATTATTAATATTGATATTATTAATACTGTTATTATTATTATTTTTATTGTTGTTAATACTATTAATGTAATTATTATTATGTTTTTTGTTTTTATTATTATGATGAGGATTATTATGATGATGACCACCACCACCACACCACCACCACCACCACCACCACCACACCACCACACCCACCACCACCACCACCACACACCACACCACCCACACCTACCACCACCACACCACCACCACCACACCACCACCACACCACCACCACCACCACCCACCACCCCACCACCACCACACCACAACCACCACACACACCACCACACCACCACCAACCACCACCACCACCACCACACACCACCACCACCACACCACCACCACCACCACCACACCACCACCACACCACACCACCACCACCACACACCACCACACCACCACCACACCACCACACCACCACCACCACCCACCACC